TCACCGTCCCCACACTCACCGTCACTGTCTCACCGTCCCCACTCTCACCGTCACTGCCTCACCGTCCCCACTCTCACCGTCACATTCTCACCGGTCCCACTCTCACCGTCACTGCCTCACCGGCCCCACTCTCACCGTCACTGCCTTAACATCCTCACTCTCACCGTCACTGCCTCACTGGCCCCACTCTCACCGTCACTGCCTCACCGGCCCCACTCTCACCGTCACTGCCTTACCATCCCCACTCTCACTGTCACTGCCTCACCGGCCCCACTCTCACCGTCACTGTCTCACCGTCCCCACTCTCACCGTCACTGCCTCACCATCCCCACTCTCACCGTCACTGCCACACCGTCCCCACTCTCACCGTCACTGCCTTACCATCCCCACTCTCACCGTCACTGCCACACCAGCCCTGCTGTTGATGGCAAACTGGCCCAGTCTTGATCCGCTGCCGTCGCTCAGGCCCACGCTCAATCCATTATCGCTTCAAGATGCGGTCTGTGTCTGTGAAATGAGCTGCCAGAGGAAGTGGTGGAGGCTGGTACCATTATAGCATTTAAAAGGCATCTGGATGGGTATAGGAATAGTTTGGGTTTAGAGGGATATGGGCCAAATGGGACTGGGTTAATTTAGGATATCCGGTTGGCATGGACGTGTTGGACAGTTGAGTCTGTTTCCGCGCTGTACATCTCTGACTCTAAGATGGATGCATAGCAAAGTGTAAAAGATTTCAGTTTTGCTGATCTATATTCTCCCATTACCAATATAAAATCTCAGTTTTCTGTCTTCACTTTCCAACTTTATCTCTGTATTTTGCTGTGCTATCAGCTTCCTTTTCATTGCAATTGATTTTGCTGAAAGACAATGTTTTATTGAGCAGTACGGCCAAAGATTAATATTTGTTTAGTGTTTATAAAGTTCCATCCTGATCAAAGGCTCGAAGTGTAATTTTGCATCAATTCACACGCATGTTGACTCACTGACAAATGCGACTGATTCTTAATTCTGTTTCTTTTCTGAACTGCTTCTGAACAGAATGTACAGGCGAACATCAAATATGGTTGGACTAAGTTATCCTCCTTCAGTCATCGATGTATTAAAGGTATTTTTGACTTTTGCTTTCTTTTGTCTATGACAGTCTCATTCTTTCAAGCCATTATGAGACAGATGTCGATCTTGTGTAAGTGATTTAGTGTATTGTTTGACATAAAGGCAGATCACAGAAATAGGTACTGAAGTTAAAAAAAATTCATTTCGTGCATTTAACTTTATCCTTATTAGGTTTAATTGGAACTTTGGAGTGAATGCAAGTTGTGTGAATTGAACTTTTGAGTCTGATGTTTGAAACACACATTCAGTTGGAAGCAGCCAGAAGCTGGAAGCTGAACTTGTGAAATTGACTCAATATTTCACACAGATTAATTTTATTTTCACCTGTGACACATGAAAGTTACTCTCAAAGTCATGCCAATTTTAACTGATTGTGCCAATATCTAAAAAGAGTGCTGATCATAATTGTACTTCTGAAAGATTAATCAATGAATAAATGCAAGTTAAACCCTGATCCTTGATCTTGATGTCAGATTATTGGTATCAAACTTGTCTAGATTTTGAGTGCTTGAATTTGTTTTTAGTGAGTATCTGAAAAAAAAACCTAAGGAGAGAGGTTGCATCTTTGGTCATGTGATTAACAGAACTTCAAATGTAGATTTTAGAAAGTGCAGGGAGCATACTAAGTGGGTCATTTTGACTGCGTGGTAATGGGAAATGGTTAGTAAATTGACTTGAAGTTAATAATCTCTGGGTTACTGTCTAAACCATGTGCAAATTGGCACAGAGAGAGAGAGAGAGGGAGACAGATAAGGAAACTAAACAAAAACAGAAGTTGCTGGAAAAGCTCAGCAGGTCTGGCAGCATCTGTGAAGGGAAAAACAGAGCTAACACTTCGGGTCCGATGACCCTTCCTCAGAACTGATGGTGGCTGGGAAAACGTCAGTTTATATGCAGAAAATAGGGAAGTGGGTGGGGTAGGGAGTAAACGATAGGATAGAGCCCAAAGAGAGAGAAAGACAGTTGGCCAGGCTAGGAGGGTGAATAGTTGTTAATGGGGACTGTTAGTGACTAACAACACGTTCTGCTCGCAAAAAAGACCCTGAACTACCTGTTGCCTGCCACTTCAATGCACCACCCTGCTCCCTGGCCAACATCTCTGTCTCTGGCTTGCTGCAGTGTTCCAGCGAAGCCCAACGCAAGCTGGAGGAACAACACCTCATTTTCCGCTTGGGGACCCTACAGCCCTCCGGACTCAATATTGAGTTCAATCATTTTAGGGCCTAAACTCTCCCATGTCCCAGCACCCCACCCCACACACCAGGCCCTGTTACCACATAGCCTGCCAGTACACACACCCTGTTGTTAGTCACTAACAGTCCCCATTAACAACTATTCACCCTCCCAGCCCGATCGTTAGCAACTCCTTTGTCTGTCCAACTGTCTTTCTCTCTCTTTGGGCTCTATCCTATCGTTTACTCCCTACCCCACCCACCTCCCTATTTTCTGCATATAAACTGACGTTTTCCCAGCCCCCATCAGTTCTGAAGAAGGGTCACCGGACCCGAAACGTTAACTCTGTTTTCTCCTCCACAGATGCTGCCAGACCTGCTGAGCTTTTCCAGCAACTTAGTTTTTGTTCCTGATTTACAGCATCCGCAGTTCTTTTGGTTTTTATTAAGGAAACTAAACACATAGCTAAAGGGCTGGTGGGGGGGTTGGGGGGTGGGAGCGGGGAAAGGAGAGAGGGATTCCACTGCATTAATCCTAGAACTGCAAGGATTTGTGTTGTTAAGATAGGCTGCAGCTATGCCAGGATGTGCTCCATTTAAACTCAAGTGGGTGCAATGCCCTAGTGGAAAGTTAAGTAAGGATAGGACAAATGTTGTTTATTCTAGTATGATGAGGAGGAGTTTTATGCACGATATGAAATTAACCTAAAACAGAAGTAAAACTGGTAAAAAGAGACACAGGTCAGACTGAAGTAATGGAGAACATCTGTGGTCAATGAATAAGTAGTGAATAAGTATAGAACAGAAAATAACATAGATGTTTAGAAATAAACTAAGAGTAAGAAAAATAGACTCTGCATCAATGAAACATCATGCTGAATAAAGAAACAAGAGAAGAATTGAGGGTACGTGGATCATCATGCAACAGAAAGCATGACAAGGATGAATATGAAGCATTTAGGAAAGATGTCTAAGGGCAGTTAGGAATGCAAAGGCGAATAATTCATTTTAGTTATCAAGAAACAAATCATAACTTATTCTGAAGTCACATGTAATAAAGGGAAAGATGGGCACTGAGGACAAAATCACATGTAACAGGAGAAATATTAAATAGCAGAAATATTCAATAATTACTTTGATTCAGTATTTATCAGGAAAATTTTGTGGTTTTAAAAGTTAACTAACCAGATTAATAATAAAAGGAGGAAACATATTAAATAAGTGAATCTAAAACAAAGAGGATTCTATTTGTGGATTTTAAAGAAAATTTTAATTAAGAAAAAAGAATCAATGGGGTGGATCTTGGGTTATGTTGTTTAGGATTTGCAGTAGGTATGTGAGTGTCACTTCTGCTCAGGGGTGATGGGGTGGGGGTGGTGGGGGGGGGCGTGGGTAATGTATCTCTTTCCTTTGTGGTTTTGCAAATTTCAGTTCATTCCACACATTTGCAGAAATACATGGTGAACCCTGTGGAAGCCAGCGCCTCTGCCCGTTACTTTTGGGTGAAACACCCGGAGGTGTATTTAAACGGTGCATTCACTGACAGTGAGCCAGGAACATCTCTTGGCCTCTCAGGGTGGATGCCTGCAGTGAAACATTCTACTCCTGTCACCCTTTGCTGGTCAGCCCATCTACCTTCCCTGGACTGACTCACACCCCTAACCAGACAGGCCCTTAACCATAGCCAACTTCCTTGAACTGTGCCGATCACATGCTAGCTTGCTCTCTCGATTATTCCCTGGGCCTCTGCAACATGAGTTGCCACCATTTGATGTCAGTCATGGCATTAGCATAGACAATCTATTTCCAAAGAGGACATTCCAAAGTCCAGAAAGTGAATTGCTGTTCTTATATGCAGCCTGAAATTGAAATTATTTACTTGTGGAGTACTTAATTCAGAAGATGCAAATAATCTTCCTGATGCATGCTTTTGGGAAGCTTAACCTAACTTCGAAGTTCATAGAATCCCTACAGTGTGGAAACAGGCCCTTCGGCCCAACAAGTCCACACCCAACCTCAGAGCATCCCACCCAGACCCATCCCCCATAACCCACCTAATCTACACATCCCTGAACACTACGGGCAATTTAGCATGGCCGATCCACCTAGCCTGCACACCTTTGGACTGTGGGAGGAAACCGGAGCACCCGGAGGAAACCCACGCAGACGCGGGGAGAATGTGCAAACTCCACAGTCGCCCAAAGGTGGAATCAAACCTGGGTCCCTGGCGCTGTGAGGCAGCAGTGCTAACCGCTGAGCCATCGTGCCGGCCTTGATTTTGTTATGTATTTTTCCCAAACAACCTGTTCAGGAATGTTATGAGACACATCTGGAGCAGGTTGGTCTTGAACCTGGGTCTCCTGGTTCAGAGGTTCCAAGACTTAATTGCAGACTGTCATCCTAACATTGGGAACCAAATTTTTTGCCTGTTAATACAGTTTAGTTCGCCACCCACCTTCCAGTTCAAGATTCCATCCGTCATTACATTTATTTAAAAGTTCATTAGAAAACATCAAATATCTGGTGGATAGCTAAAGTTGTTCATTGACATACATTTAAGAAGTGAGAGAGTGCATGGTGAGGAACTACCAAACCACCATCTGAAAATCAGTGGTAAGACTGACCATGAGATCCTAAGCAAAGGTGAAAGTGGAAAATGTGTTAACGAATGATAGAAGACAGTCCGTCATAGGAAGCATCCTCTTGTACTTTGTTTTGCAGAATGTAGATAAATGGACCTTCAATGTTTTTGCACTGAATCAAGCCAGTGGAGAACACGCACTCAAATTCATTGTTTATGATCTATTCACCAGATATGACCTCATCAGTCGTTTCAAGGTTAGTGGTTGACTTTTCAGTCTGTTTGAATATGCAATCAATTTCACACGTGACTAAGTGTTTTAAATGCTACAATTTTGAAAGCCAATTCATCCATTGCTGCATTTGAAAATATGCATAATACCAGATAAATTTTGTGGTATTGCAGGCGGGATTGTCAAGGCCGAGTGCAGGTCTACAATTGAAGTGAGGGTGGAGAGCAGTGGATAGCTGGATAAAGCCGTGCAGATATAATTCACTCTCCATTTTAAAAGCATGCAGAGTGAATCTCCATGGAGTTCTCCTGATCATCAGCCATGACTTCAGTGAATGTTTAGAAAAAGGCTCTGGAGATAAGGCAGAATTAATATTCATGCTGCAGCTCTGTGGTTTTTATGAGCTGCTACTGACATTATCTTTTTTTATAATTTATTGATACATCAGTTGCAAGCATCATTGTTAAGACCATCAATTATTGCACACCCCTAATAGCTGTTTTGAAACCGCTGTCTTGAAGCACTGTAGTTGATGTGTTGTGTGTACTCCCTCAGTGCTGTTAGACTGAAAGAAATGAGGAAGCACTAGTGATTTAGAATGATCTGTTCCAGGAAGTAGTATTTCAATACTGTCCTTGCCCGTAGCTAATAGAGGTACTATATTTGGAAGGGACTGCCAAAGAAACCTTAGCAACTTACGGTTGTGCATCTTGTAGATGGTTCATGCTGCAGGCATGTTGCATTGGTAATAGAGGGAATGAACATTTAAGGTGATGAATAGGCTATCATCAAGCAGGCTGCGTTGTCTTGGATGTTTTGAACATCTTGCATTTTCTTGGAGATGTGTTCATCCAAACAAGTGGAAGTTATTCCTTCAAGTCCTAAATTGTGTCTTGTGGATAATGAAAAGAGTTTGGAGAATCCAGATGGATACATGATATTCAGTCCCTGACCTGCTGTTGTGGACATTATATTTGTGTGGCTGGTTAGGTAGGTTTCTGGGTCACTGCTGGCCCCCCTGGTTGTTGATGGTGATATGATGGTGTTGTTGCTGTTCGATGTCGAGGAGAAATGGTTAAAATCTCTCTCATTTAGATGATCATTTCCTAGCATTCGTGTGGCACAAATATTATGTGCTGCTTCTCATCCTGAGCGTAATCTTGTCCACATCTTGCCATATTTGAACATGGACTGTTTCTGTATTTGAGGAATGGTGAACGGTGCTGATGCTTCTGCAATTTTCAGCAAACATCCCCATTTCTGATCTTACGATAGAAGGACAGTAAGTGGTGAAACATGGCATTTCTGGTGGGCGTTTGAAAATATCAGATCCACAAAACTGCCTGAACGTCATTAACAGATGTTCCTGTTGGCAGGTTTGAATTAATAGCTGAGAGAGTGCTATAGGATACAAGTCTGCTCTAAAAATAGTAAATGAGGTCCCGGGAATTTTTTTTAGGGCATTTTGGATGCTGTGGAGAAGCACTTTTAAAGTTTAGTACCTCATCATAGAATACCAATACTCTTCATTTAAAGTTCTTTGAATTTAAAGTACAATCTAAATAGCAGTCTGAATTTTCATTATGCCTTAAAGTAGGCACAATTCTGGTAAAATTCTGTGCTGATATACCAGAGGCTAGAGAACCTGAAGCCTCATCAAAATAAATGTAAGAAACTAAAACCAGGAGTGATGCAACACTGGCTGTTGACTCACTATTGTCCACTTTATTAGGCATTGCAGCTAAGGAAGAATTTGAAGGAGTTGGAGTTGGTGCAAAAAAGATTTCTGAGAATGGTTTCAGCAATGAGGAATGTTATGATGTAGATAGATTGGATTTTATGTAGATAAATTGAAAAAGTTATGATTGATTTCTTAGAATAAAACAAGGCTGAGAGATAATTAAATATAGGTATTTTGAGGGCGGGTAATGGTTCATAATAAATCAGTAACCTGTCTTACACTGCACTTCATATTCACTCAATAGCTCTTGCCCACCTCACCCCCCCAAACTACTGACTCTTCCTGCCCTTTGCTCTTTCTGCTCACTTCCTGGAGACCCTGGACCACCTTTCCTCCTCATACATCACCCCTGACTACTCATTCATCCCCATGTTTCATTGCCATAACGAGGCTGTGAGGTCCAGCACTGATAGCAGAGCCCTCACTCCATGTGAGAGGAGGATTCTCACAGTATCCAGAGAAGGTGTGCCCACTCCTGGGGATATGGGTGACCTCAACCAATCTTCATTGTGCAACGCTGCATTCCCCCTGCCATTAACACCAATGGTAACTCATTCTTAATCTATGCAGCCTTTATCCCTTTTAGACAACTAATACCCAGGTGGTATCTGACAAACCACCAGAAGAGGCCGGTGCTGGAGACCCTCAGCCCCACCTTCACCTCTGAGGATCAAGCAATTGAAACCTCAGATGAAGCACCAACAAAGGCTTTCGCCTGGACTCTTCACCAGTTCAGAGATTTTCACCTCATGGCAGGATTCTGTCTCCATTAGACTCAGCAGCACACTTTGGTGAGCACACAATTGACACGCCTGTGCAATGAAGAAATGTCCAAGGACTCTGACTCCCAGTAAGACAAAGTACTTACTCGGCCCCAAAGTCTTGGCCATTAATGATTTTGTCAAAATGGACAGACAGGCACAGAAACAGTAGGCAGGCTAGCCAGAGGTACTCAGTCAGTTGGATTGAAGGATGGAGGAGTGCACCAACATTATCTGCACTGTGCCGGCTCTAGCTACTCTATAAAGAGGCAGGACCGGCACCCTTGGTCTGCTGGATTATGTTCACTCCAGCCTTAGATCCCTCAACATCAATGACAGGTTAATAGGGGACAAGCGACCTTCACCTTACTCTAGGTGTCTCTTTCACTCAGGTAGACAGTTTGCTGCCAGTAGACACTCAAAGTGAGGAGAAGCCACACACGAACCTTGAAGCTGCTTTTCAGGACACTCCAGTGATGACCCCTTCACTTCCCTCTCCCTGTGATCACAAAGCCCCAAGAAGCTCCAGTCAAGGAGGGCACTCTCAGCACACCTAGGCCCTTTGGCCCCAAAAGCACCCAGGACAACTTCACAAATCTTCCAGGCCAACAGGGACAACAAGAGCAGCCTCCCCTCCACCCCAACTACAGAATTTGGAGTTGTGCTGAGACATAATGGGAGGCAGAGGATGAAAATCCTTACTTAGAGTATATAGGTGGCACTGGTGAATCATCATTGTAAATAATCTTTCACTTCTTAAAATATGTCTTCAGTTGCTTTGCTAAATATCTGCTCTGGTGTAATTTTTCCTTGGGACCTGATTATATTGGATCCATGAGGCAGATGAGTCATCCCAACAATGAAGGAAGTTACAATGACTAAGATTTGTTCATTTCTCTTAAGCACTCAATTCCTGACTACATACTGCATCTGGCTTCCTTGAAGCATGACATTGATGACTTAAAAACGTTGCCCTTTAATGTGAACAAAGCTGAGGCTAATTTCAGTGTGCAGGGACTGTACTAGGGGCTGACCTGCACACATCATTCCACACTTACACCATCTTGGTGCCTGGAGCACCCTATGAGCGAGAGTACAGAATCAGTGATGATTCCACACCTCTCTGCAGGGAATGGTTCAGTCAGTCTATCAGGTGTTCAAGGCACTGCACTGTCATTGAAGGCTTGGAGACGTTAAATAGACATGTCCATCTCTTTCATTTTGCAACTTTTCTTAGCGGACCAATGCAGTATATGTTGTCTCTCAGTTTCAACAGTGTTCTAGAGGATAGTCAAGTATTTCAAGACAACTTAGCCATCTACGCACGCACTGAAACATGAAGGGTCAAAGGAGATCCTTCGGAATTCCTTTCAACCTGCTTCTTTTCATGAGGGATCTCTCTCCATGACACTCTTGAAGGTAGCCTTACAAGCTGGCTAACCTAAGCTTCATGTGATGTCAGTGCATTACCTTACTGTTGCTTTTCCGTTATGGTCAATAGGACATGTAAAGTGTAAATACTTGAAAGTGGGATTACCCAAAGATATCAAGCAGATGGATAAGAAAACCTCCAATGAACAACACTAATGTGTAAGGGCTGCAAAAACAATAAACGACCACATGTCCTTAGCATGAAGCAGGAGTTGCTTACCACATTACCTGTAGAATATTAAACAATGATACAAAGTTCAAATCCAGCTCATTCTTCCTGGATAGAGATAGTAGGAACTGCAGATGCTGGAGAATCTGAGATAACAAGGCGTAGAGCTGGATGAACACAGCAGGCCAAGCAGCATCAGAGGAGCAGGAAAGCTGACGTTTCGGGCCTAGACACTTCTTCAGAAA